TTAGTTTATAATTTTTTTAAAAATAAATATGATATTTAAAAATATTTATTTATAAAGTAATTTTAATTTATTAAATAATAAATATTAATTATTTTATAAATTATTAATTGTTCTTAACAATTAACTTAAGAAAAAAGATTTTAACAATTATTAATAATCTTAATAAATTAAATGATAACCATAACCACGAGAGCAAAATGTGAATTCCATTGTCCCTTATTCCCTATCTTGGTCATCCAGTTATGGGACTAATTAGCTATATTTAAGTTAGGTTAGGTAGTTATGTAGGTTCTTAGTAGTGCTCTTCAGCTGGAGCCCCTCCAGAGGGTTTCGCTTTCGCTTAACCAGGTTTTTCTGCAAAAACTCTTTTTTGATTCTATTTGGTTCAATTTGTAACCAAGAAAGATAATTCCTGAGATTATAAAAACTAATGAAAGACAGTCACATACACACATATATTTATATATTATATTAAATAATAAATTATATAATAAAAAATAATCATATATATTAATTCTTTTTTCCTTTTAAATGGATAAATATAAGAGAAGGGAAAGTTTTTTTAAATAATTAGGAAGAATCAAGTTTTTGATTAAATTAATTCAAATATTAAGAATTAAAGCCAAATCATTAAATACGAAAATTTGATTTATATATATATTAATTCTTGACATCAATGTTAAAAAATAATAATAATAATAAGCAAGTTAGAACTTACTCGTTTACCTTAATATTTCCAAAACTTAAACACCTACGTAACAGCACAAAACGAAGGGAGGAAAATGACAGAAAGAGCAATGCTAGGGGCACTCGCCTCCTGCACTCTTCGGCCGACAATTTCTCTTTTATTGGGCCACGTTATTTTGGTTGCCGAGAGGTTAGCCTGAAAGCTGTAAGAAGCTTACGTGGCCCAATAAAAGGGAAAGTGTTGGCCAGAGAGTGCAAAAAGCGAGTGCCCCTAGCACTGCTCATGACAGAAATCACGACCCACGAGCAATCCGCGTGACCTGTTCGCCTGAAGCAAGATCTTTCCGACAAGACAACCTCGGCTAAAACAACTTTTAACTCCTCAACTTATATAAAATTGATATGTTTTAATTTTTAACTTTATAATATAACACTTTTTACTTTTTACTTTACAAAATTAATAAGTTTTAATCCCTCACCTTATATTATGATATTTTTAGTCCCTTATCTATACGAATTGAAGAAAATAACCTTCACTTAACATTAGGTTATAATGTACAGTTAATTCTATTAGTTAACTATTAGTTCTATTAGTTGACTACCAGTTTTATTAGCTAACTTTTAGTTTTATTAACTGATTATTAGCATCTGTTAGCATCCATTAGCATTCTATTAATGAAACTAACAAATAAAATTGAATTTAAATTTCATATTTTTTATAACGAAATACTAATTGATATTAACAATCAATTAATAAAACTAATAGAACATTATAATTTGATGTTAAGTGAGAGTTATTTTTTTTAATTCGTATAGATGAGGGACTAAAATTGTCATAATATAAGGTGAGGAGTTAAACTTACTAATTTTGTAAAGTAAAAGGCTAAAACTTATCAATTTTGTAAAATAAAAGTTAAAATGTCATGTTATAAAGTGAGGGATTAAAAACTACCAATTTTTTAAGATGAGAGCCCAATGTTGGTTTTTGCCGACAACCTCATCCCTTTCCAAACATAAAAATCCAGTCTCTCTCATTGGCTGTCACTTTAACTTCGCCACCAAGCATTCCGACCGCCCACGGTATCCCCTAAACCATTTAATGGAAATTTAAATAATTTTTAACTAGCCATGACCACACGCTTATTATAAAACAAACCCAAATGTCCAGACAGAATCATGGCTTGACCAAAATATCTTCCCTCCCCTGGACCCCAACTGTCCCCTTTCAAAAACCGTTACTGCCCGGAACCCTCCTCAGGTCGGCGCTTCACCAACTTGCAGCGAACAAATGGCTCAGAAGTATCCTACGTTCCATCGCTACAGTATCTCTCGTTACCGTAGAAGAAGAGGCGACCCCCCACCGCCTCTGCTCTCCCAAGATTTTTTTTTCCTAACAGTTTGTCGGCTTTGCTTAAACCTTTCAACCCCACCTTATTTATAAACCCCTCTTCACCACCATTTTTCTCACCTTTTCATTTTGCCTACCAAAACTTTGTTTTCGATAAATGAACCCAGAAGATGAACTGCATCCCAAATCCCCTTCGAAATTGTCCACTGCTACAACTAGTTCTTCAATTCAAGTAGAGACGACAATGGGTTCCCAGCAGATTCCTTCTAGTTCTCTCTTTGTGGACACAACATTTGGTTTCTCTCCATCTCCGTTGTCTTCGCCATTTCCGTCTCCTTTGATGGAATTCGAAGCTTTTTCTGGGATGAACCTGCCTTTGTCAGGTGGTGTTGAAGAGGAGCCTGTTGGGGTGCCTCAACCTCTAGAGTGTCTGCAGGGTAACCCAATCCCGCCTTTTCTGTCCAAGACGTTTGATTTGGTGGATGACAGCTCTTTGGATCCGATCATATCGTGGGGACCAACAGGGAAGAGCTTCGTGGTATGGGATCCGGCCGAGTTTGCTAGGCTGATTCTCCCTCGGAATTTCAAGCACAACAATTTTTCCAGTTTTGTTCGCCAGCTTAATACTTATGTGGGTATTGCAGTAACACGGCCTGCTTAAAATTGGCCGTGTCATCTCTACTTGTACGTTGTTATTGTTGTTCTTCTTCTTGTTGCTTGTTCTTTTTGTTTTTGTTTTTTCCCTGTAATTCTTTTTTTTTTTTCTTCGTTTCGTTTCATGGTTTAGGCCGGTTTTGTAAAATGTGTAACATACTCATATGGTTTATTCATGTACAGTTAACAATCAAATATTGTATTAGATTTTCAAAGTAAATAAGGAAACATGGATATAAATTGTGCTATGGCTTAACATTTCCGGAACTTGTATGTGCTCCAGGTTTACATGCAGGTAAATAAAGGGAATTGTCCTGTTTGTATGTAATGTTCTATTGAACATTATTGTATCTTGGAGATTTTATTGGTTCATATGTGTTGAATCACGGGTAGAATTCTTGTATCATGGAGATTCTATACATGTTTAGAGTGGCTTGAAAGTAATTGGGTTTATATGTGTTGAATCATGGATAGAATTCTTTTATCAGGGAGAATCTCTACATGTCTAGAGTTAGAAATGTGAGTTTGTTCTTTTCAGAGTGAAACTGGCATGAATGCATTGTAAGAAAATGTAAAAGGCTCTTCGTTCATGAGGTTTTCTTCTTCACACTTCTACCAAAAGAACTCCTTTCTTCAAGTATGTACTGGAATAGCTAGTTGCATCTTGTGCTGATTCTGGTGGAATATTTGTTATTATGCTATATTGTTGAGTGCAGAGTCTATATGTCTAACAATTTCTCTAAGTTTTGAAGAGGTAGTTTCATGATATGTACGGATCATCTGTATGATGCAATCTGGTTTCTCCAGAAAATTGAGGCTTCAAGTTAACTTGCTTGCACATTTTTATTATATGAATTCTAACCTTCATTTTTTGTCTTTTTGAAGTGTTTGTTTTCTCTATTCATTCTTGAACTTTCTTGGCTACTCTTTCAGGGGTTTCGCAAGATTGATACGGACAGGTGGGAATTCGCAAATGAAGCTTTCCAGTGTGGGAAGAGGCATCTTTTGAAGAACATTCAGAGGCGCAAGTCACCTCGATCTCAACAGGTTGTGAGCTACTTTGGACCTACTGAAGGAGGGGGAGCAGAATTGGAAGGTGAAGTAGAGAGGCTGAGGACGGAGAGGAGTATGCTGATGCAGGAGGTAGTAGACTTGCAGCAACAGCACAGTGGGACAGCTCACCATATGAAAGTAGTGAACCAGAGGCTTCAAGCAGCAGAACAAAGACAGAAGCAGATTGTTTCTTTCTTAGCAAAGTCGCTTCAGAATCCTTCTTTCCTGGCACTACTCGGACAGAAGAAGGAACATGGAGAAATAGGCTCTCCAAGGATGAGAAGGACGTTTGTAAAGAGCCAACATGAACTGGGTAAGGCAGAATCATCCATGGAAGGGCAGATTGTGAAGCACAGGCCTGATTGGAGAAACATTGCTGAATCTACTCTGTCCTCA